GTAAGTGAATCACACACAGAATACTAGTGCGATAATAATAGAGAAAATAGTTCGGCTTGTCAACTGAAATTCTAAAGTAATTGAATATACCTAACTGGACATTTGACAAGAAGAAGAGAACTATATATATATAGTATTTATGATATGCCTATGATATCTATAGAGTGAAGAATTTGTTGTACATACGTTTAACTTGTTCCGAATATATATATATATATATTATTTTGAAAACAAGTGAAGTACGTGCTGTTCATTTATCGTTAACAAATCACAGTCACCCACTGTAGAAGAATCCTAAGCCCAACAACAACATAGTATATATTTATACTATTAAAAAGTATAAGTGAAAGCTTTTTAACAGACAATTGGCGACCATACTATAACCATAACTTTTGACAATATTATGAGGCTTATTGTAATTTCAAACTCTAATTATTTATACAGTTCTTTAGGGTTTGATTCTTTTATCAAAAATAATTATAGTTACACATTATAATGGGTGTGCAATTATTGTTGCATAAGGCATACTAAAAAAAACATCACCTTGGACTGTTGAGGGAGGCTTTTGTATAGGTCCCTAAAAAGACGAATTCGTCTTTCCTATATACATATAAGTCTATAGTTGTCTTATTACGAATATAATCATTCCTACATTTATAGAAATATAATTATATATTTGTCTTATGATAAATATAATTGATTAAAGTCATGTTGTTTTGAAAATGTCGTCCATACTACGATAATTGCTATATAACAAAAACCGCAACATTACGACAGAATTAATAAAAAAATAACATAAACACTGTTCCGCAGTGAAGAAGTTACCATTACTATAGAAACAAAACTCATTTTATTGTTCTGTCTTTTTTATATGTATTGGTTATTTTTTTTAATTTACAATTTATGTTTATTTCTCTTATTTTGAAAATACTTTTCACATAAGACGTATGCGGAATGCGCTTACTTTTTAATGAAGAACCGTACAATATTATTAAATTAGACATTACTATATTATGTATATTTAGATAAAACTGTATAATAAAATAGAAGTAAAAGTTTTCTCATGCAGTATTATCGAGATAATCTTTATCAGTCTCGTAGAGTCTCGTTCAGAGCGGTATTTCATATAAATTACCAAAAATTGGGCCACAAAAGAACACAATTGTAGTGTTTTCAGAAGCTGAAAATGGCGGTGGTGTTCACGTAGAAGTCATCATCTGTAAAAGAAAAAGTTATTCAAACACATCCACTACATAAATCAATTTTAGTTAGTATCTAAAACCATGTTCAACATGATCCCTTAAATCTTAGTTTGTTACTAAACATACAGAATTATTAGAACAAGCTGGTGACGTAATATGACGTATAAAGAGACAAAACTACTATGTCAGTTAATGGTGTTTCAGACCTATATACTCACTTTCCAAAATAATTTGAATTTACTGTAAAACTGAAATCACACAGAAGTGATGTTCCCCACAACTTGAATTAATGTATATAAATTTAGTCTTAGTTATGGTTAACGATTTATACATTTTTATAGTACCTAACACCTACACACTAATCCAAGTTCTATTTTAGCAACTTCAAATTCGTTGCGAGGGTGTGCGTGACCTAATAGTTCGTATGTCGAGCTATAGATCGAAAGGCTTAACGGTCGAGCCCGTGATATATCGCTGACCATCCTTCGCACTTTCAGCTGTGGACGTATTATAAGAGTGACAGTTAATCCAACTATTCGGTTAAGGTTAGCCTTATAGGTGCCACTGATTTTGTTGCCCTCTCTCTTTCTATGTTCAGTAGCTCTAAAATAAGGGCTGCTATGCCAAAATCTTGGAGATCTCTGACCTGGCCGTTTTAACCCTTATTGTATTTCAGGTTGGAAGTACCCAATGCATATTTTACTTGTTTAGGGTTTTCATTTATTGGATTTTTGCTGGATCATTAAGTGTTCATATAGTTGAGTGCGTCAATCTATATGTTTAATTTTGACCATGATAGCACTCCTCTCACTTGTAATTGTAAAAGTAATGTAAAATTTAGTTTTATCTAGGCAAAATTAGCTATTAAAACATGCGCATCGAGTTCATGTTACCATAAGAGTTCGAAATTGTTTTTATTACTTTTTTTTGTTTTTTAAGATACATTAGTGAAATATACAAGTATGTTTTTCAGGTCAACAAATGTCAGCTTTAAACGGTACTTACAACGTTGTAGCTAGAGTTTAAAGCACCGTGTTGGTCAGTAATGTTTGTTGATGCTGCGTTATGGTCATATTGTCCTCCAACGCCAGCATTTCTTTTTCAGTAAGGACACCACTACCCGGTTGGAACTGGCTACCACCATCATACATCTCCATCGGATACAGATCTGTTCCCTGAACTTGAGTAGAGTTGGAGCTTTCGCCATCTGACGGTGCATTTCCAAAAGATCGACGTGAAAAGGGACCAACACCGTACATAATTTTATGCAGAGACGCCATTGAACCTGTAAAGAATGTTATTAATTCTTTTAAATTTCATTAAAATATTTTATTCCTCTTCATATACATATATACACATATAACTGAGAAAGATACAACTAAAACCTTATACTTAGATATAACTTCATAACAGATGCAGCCTTTTAGAGATTATTACAAGGCAAATTTTATGGCCTTCGCAACCCTTTAGCCAACAACCAATAACATTTTTTTCCCCTTTTTTATTTAGTAAAATTATGAAGGTAAAATATGGGAAGTGAGTAATCATTGGTATAATAATTGAACTGATATTATTTTTAATTACGTTAATATTGTGTGTAAACAGTAGCCATAAAGATTAGAGCTATTTTTTTTGTAGAGTAACATTCAAGATATTCTGTTTGGATTTCCATGATTTAGTAGAAATTTCAATAAACTATTTCATCAAATTGCATTTCATCACATCTTATATATAGAAACGTTTTAACAATATCATATTTATTTCTAAATCACATTTCGTCAAAAAAACGTTTTGAAATCAAATGTGATTTTTAAGCTTTCGGGCTTTCAAAATACATGAAAAACCAAACTGTTTCTAAAAACCATATAATAAATACACAGACAGATAAATAAAACACAAAGTATGTTTATGGAATTTTTAAAATACAAATAAAAACAACTTCACATACCGTAAAAAGAGAGTGATATCCCTTCTTTCTGCAGAGCTCCATATTTAGAACGAGGCTTAGTGCGTAGTTGTAGCTGTGCTCCCACACCTTTCTCACGCGCTCTGCGCGTGAGCTTGCTGTACAGATAAACTTTACGAAGGTATAGACACAACATAACAATGGTAGCACATACTAAATTGGCCACTACTATCGTAACATCACGATACAGTGGATATAACTGGGTGGCAAGAACAGTCCAAACTATCCAGACTACTGCCTTCAAGATACAAATGAGAAGTATCCAACGGGGTTCTTTGTTTCCATCACCACACTTCCAAGACAACAGAGAAAAGAGGATGGACAAGGCCAAGAGAAGCATTACATATACTAAGGAGATGACCAGCTCATCTTCAAATGTTGAAGGAGGAGAACACCTCCACACCTGACTGTATACACCAACTTCTGGAGGACGCAACATTAACCAAGCCGTGCTCAGTACGACCTGGATGGCGACGAGACCCACAACCATCAGCAGCAGACCAGTTGGACTGGTAAGGCGAGAATAATCTTTCAGAACCCGATTATTCTTATAACCCATAAACCTCCATGCATTCATTACCTTTACCAACATCCCCGAAATGATAATGGCGTAGGCCAGACCCATTAAGAATCTGCGCACTCCACATGTATAGATGTTTGGAGTTAGAATAAAGGCAAAGTTTAGCCCGTACAGAACCAGAAGACCAAACAATATAAGAAAACCAAGCACGGTAGTTCCGGTGGCAGCTGGAAACACCATCAGGAAGTAGAGAGTGCAAATAACCACTAAGCTGATTCCAAGAAGAGACAAAGCAGTGACAATGATTCCCCAAACGGTCTTGAAATTCGTGTACAGTGCGGGTCTATACACCAGTCGATAATTGTAAAGATCTTGGTCATTAGCACACTTTTCACAGTTCTCGAAGCACGCAGATGTTGGAACCTCACCATAGGAAAAGGTCACATCTTTCTCGTTGAGGTCAAGCTTGTGGTTCTTCCATAATCCCACCTGCAGGGAATAAAAAATTGTGTACAAAATGACGCCCATCTCAAATAATATAGAAATATTAATAAAGCTTGATTAAACAATAGGTGAATTTCTTTTCCTTACCAAAAGACAACTTTCATGAATAAAAGATGGCATAGAGACCTAATCAATTCTTTGATTCGCTACTTTCATTGCAGCAAACTAGTCTCACTGAATTCACAGCTCATCAGTGCTGTTTGAAAGAGCGAAGCAAACAAAAGGTCTCATAGAGTGGTGAATAAAGGATTATATATAAAAATCAAACCAAAAGAACAAAAAATCACGATCAGTAATCAACAATATTATGGCAAATTCATCGACTCAGTTACAGTTATATTGTAATATACCAGTTGGCGCTCAAGAATCTTAATTAGGACTGGAGTATTGCACATGCCTAAAGGGCACGAGCTCTCTCTCTCTCTCTCTCTCACACACACACACAATCTATTATAACAGTTAATGGTAATAATCAACACAATAAAAGCGTATTCTGTTACCAATTTACAGTTCTGTTGGCCCCCCAGTGGCACAGCGGTATGTATGTCTGCGGACTTACAATGCTAGAAACCGGGTTTCGATACCCGTGGTGGGCAGAACACAGATAGCCCATTGTGTAGCTTTGTGCATCACTTCAAACAAAACAAAACAAAAACAGTTCTGTTCTGTAACAATATCATTACAGCCCATCCCTTCTTGAGGTAGGACTATACCGTATGTGCGCAGGGCTCCAATAATACTTGAAATACTTAATCCAGTCCTAATCTTAATGTAAACTTTACACAAGCAACATAAAATCCAACTTCACTGGGGAAATTATTACCATGTGTAGTAATTCTGTCACCCTAGTGGATATAATCTCATGGGTTCGTCTATTTCCACGCTCATTTGCGAGAGTATTAAATAACTGAATGTTTGTTTG